AAAAATTACGGTAATTATTTAATATTTTTATCAATTTGTAATGATGAGAGAAATTCTAAAAATTTTGTTAATTAACAATAACCTACTTTGTTGGAAAATTAATTTTTATGAAAAATTCCAACGGGAATGACTTCTTCTAAGTGTTTAGAATACACCGTGATTTTTTTAAATTTTTGAATTTAATTTTATTAACTTAAAAAAATTATTTTATGTAACGTACTCGGTTTCGACGACGTGCGCGCAACCTAAAAATGGCTTGCGGAAGGCTACTTTGAGCATTAAATTAAAATTAAATTAAAATCCAAAAATATTTATAGTTTACAAACTATAGGCGAAAAACCAAACACCATGTTTTTGAGGTGTTTAATTGTTTATAACTTTTGCAATTTTTTATGCACTGCAAAATTTTTCTTCACACATTGAACTAGACATTATTCCGAATCGAATGAGCTATTGAACATAATTTTCGTAATAGTATTTCCCAAAAACACGCTTTTGAACTTGTTGATTAGACTACAATACTGTATAGTCATTTTAGCCCAATGATCGAAAAACCATACAAAAACAGCGAATATATTTTCTTTCGAATCTGTTAACATCAGGTTAACATGGATGTCTTGAAATTCAGTTTCAATAATTTTATATGTGATTCTATATAAGAAAACATGAAAATTTGTTGATAAATTTTATTAATATCCTTTACTTGATTTTGTTAAAATTTGACAGTGTTGTTTGTACGTTGTTTGAAACGCCACTTCATAATTTTCATTCAGTTGAGACTAAATTGACCTACCAAATTTTAACAAAATCGGGAAAAGGATATTAATGATATTTATAAAAAGCTGATTTAAAAAAAACCTTTGTATCTTGCCCTTATATCTTGAAAACTATGAATTTTCTTATATTTTCTTATGTAATATTGGAACTCAATTTCACAGATTTGACAAAAAATGAAATTTCCTATATTCGCCATTTTTACATGGTTCTTCGAACTTTGGACTAAAGTGACTATTATTATGGTCAAAAAGACATTTTGTCATTAACAATTTATTCACAAAATTTTGCAGTTAAAGTTCTTTTGGTAATTGAATTGTGCAATTTCTTTTCTAGGTAATTGGTAATTTTGCAAGAAGCACTTAGAATTTTCAAAGTGCTTGGTACTTGATGCTGGTAATTACTTTACTTTTTCAAAGGACTTGGTAATTTTTGTTTGTCTCTATTACAAAATGACCATACAAAACTTGCCTGCAAAAAATTATACCATCTGCTTTATCTATATACAGTGAGCATCATAAGTCTTACCCCCCCTAACTAACTCGTATCTGGGGTCTTGTTAGGAAAATGGCCGAGACAGGTCGATTTTTGATTTCTACAATGTACATTTTTGCATGATTAGTTTACCCTTAATTTCATCCCTTAGTGGAGGGTAGAAACCCTTTCGAAAAATTTAAATGGCATGGGGTGGTGAGTGATAGCTCATTTAAAAGGGGGTTTTATTCTCTATTCAACCGTGCAAAAAATTTTGAAATTTTCTTCATTACGTGTTGATTTGAGGGAGCTTTTAATGAAATTCTTTGTTCTTTAAAGTTAGAAACATAAAAATTTAAATTACAGCCACTAAGCATAAATTAATAATTACGTGTTTCAGGGTTTTGGATTTTCACATTTTAAGGGGGGACCAGGGATGAAAGTTTATTTGAAAATATCGATTTTTTTTAAAGGTAGGAACTTGAAAATTGGAATTGTAAATAAATAATGAAGTCTTTTAGGGTTATTGCATTTTCAAATTTTAAGGGTGGAAACGGGGGGTGAAAATTTGTTTGAAAGTATGTATATATTGTTTTTGTTCCTTAAAGTTAAAAACATGAAAATTTGAAATACAGCTACTGATCAAAAATAAATAATGATTTGTTTCATGGTTTTTGGATTTTCACATTTTAAGGGTGAAAAATTAAAATAATAAAAAATGAATAAAAATAATTAAAATAAAAAAAACTATAAAAATAAATAAAAGTAAATAAAAATAAATAAAAATAAATAAAAATAAATAAAAATAAATAAAAATAAATAAAAATAAATAAAAATAAATAAAAATAAATAAAAATAAATAAAAATAAATAAAAATAAATAAAAATAAATAAAAATAAATAAAAATAAATAAAAATAAATAAAAATAAATAAAAATAAATAAAAATAAATAAAAATAAATAAAAATAAATAAAAATAAATAAAAATAAATAAAAATAAATAAAAATAAATAAAAATAAATAAAAATAAATAAAAATAAATAAAAATAAATAAAAATAAATAAAAATAAATAAAAATAAATAAAAATAAATAAAAATAAATAAAAATAAATAAAAATAAATAAAAATAAATAAAAATAAATAAAAATAAATAAAAATAAATAAAAATAAATAAAAATAAATAAAAATAAATAAAAATAAATAAAAATAAATAAAAATAAATAAAAATAAATAAAAATAAATAAAAATAAATAAAAATAAATAAAAATAAATAAAAATAAATAAAAATAAATAAAAATAAATAAAAATAAATAAAAATAAATAAAAATAAATAAAAATAAATAAAAATAAATAAAAATAAATAAAAATAAATAAAAATAAATAAAAATAAATAAAAATAAATAAAAATAAATAAAAATAAATAAAAATAAATAAAAATAAATAAAAATAAATAAAAATAAATAAAAATAAATAAAAATAAATAAAAATAAATAAAAATAAATAAAAATAAATAAAAATAAATAAAAATAAATAAAAATAAATAAAAATAAATAAAAATAAATAAAAATAAATAAAAATAAATAAAAATAAATAAAAATAAATAAAAATAAAAATAAATAAAAATAAGTAAAAATAAATAAAAATAAATAAAAATAAGTAAAAATAAATAAATAAAAATAAATAAATAAAAATAAATAAAAATAATATAAAATAAATAAAAATAAATAAATAAAAATAAATAAAAATAATATAAAATAAATAAAAATAAGTACTATGTACAATCTGGTGATATTAGCAGATGAGAGCCGTACCAGAAATGTGGTATAAAATGAGATTATCAATTAGATTAATATATTTAAATATTAGAATAGTCTAATCAACATTAATCTATAATTCTATCACAAACATACCGTGAACAGTAAAACAACATATTATCGCGTCTTTTTTAAGGAAGTCATGCATTTTTTTATACTAAAAACACGCGTGCGAAGCCGCGGTCAACAGCTAGTATTGTATATGAATATGTTTTTGTAATTTTGACATATAAAGTGAGATTTTTGTAATCGTAGGAAGTGTCAAAATTATCTGTTTTATGCAATCAGTTGCATAACGTTAAACATTATGGAACTGGTTTCGAAATAGTAGTTTATGTTACAAGGACGAAAAGTTGAGTTTTTTGGGCGAATACGAGAAGAATACCGAAAAAAAAAACACTTTTTTCTGTGTTTCATACAATGTTTTTTATTCAGATATTAAAAAAATATATAGAAAATTAAATTGGAAATGATATTATTTCCAATATTTTTTCCTTAACTGAGTTGACCATAAGAACAATTGAACAATTTCTGTCGTGTAATTATGCTCATGTCAAATTAATGTAATTACCTAGATTATTAAAAATTGGTGTCAAAAAAAATTACAAACTTGAGTAGTGACGATGAATTCATTTCGGGCAGCCCCCAGAAATTAGAGACACGGCAAATTTGGCGTCATTGAATTTGATTTCAAAAAAATCAAAAATGGTATACGAAAGAGTCTACCTCTTTGAGAATTTTAATATGTATGCAACACTGTATAAGTATACAAAAGTTCTACTTTTCGACTATGTTTTCTGTCCAAAAAACGACGTTTTTTGACACATTCGAATAAAAAATTTAATTATTTCACCAGTTGCGAAAAGAAAAGAAATAAAAATAAACCTCTTTTGGTTTTAAAATCAATAATATTTATTATTATTAAAAGTTTATACCAAAGAAGGCAAGTTGATAGAAATTGGTTAAACTTAAAATCTAGTAATAATGTTGTTTTGGTCCTTATTTTTCAGTCCAAATCAGCACAAAATAATTAAAACACAATGCACTGCAAAATAACTCACTTTTTGAAAACGAAATAAATAATTAATATTTTGTTCTATTTGTCAATGAAATGATGCATATGCAAATACAAGAAAGTAGTGATATTGGTTGCCTAGATGTCAGCAATGTTTTACCGAAACACAGTTTTATAAATAATCTAGTCAAAATTAGAAACAATATTGTATGTAACACGTTACGAAATACCGTTTTATGTAACTCGTTTATGTTACGGGACCTCGCTCTGCTCGTCCAACAAATATTCACTCATTACATGAAATAAGGCATTTCGTAACTGGTTTCATAAATAGCTATTTCGATAACACCAAAGACATAAACCATTAATATTATAGTGAATGTTGGTACCATTACACTTTCTTGGACTTCTACGTACATTTAATAAGGTGTTACCAACAAGTTTACACTTTCCACTGTTAAATATAACATTTTGTCACTGAGGAAAAAATTCGTATAGTGATGATTTTTGTCCATTTGATTTGATGTGGATTTATTTGATTTCAAAGCACTTGTTTGCAAACATTACATAATATAATATTTAGGCAATCCAAATATAATATGTACAAACAACTAATGATAATCTAGTAGTTTAATTGAGAAAAAATATTACAAATAAAATAATAAACCCTCGAATAAACCGATATAAAAAAATATAAAAATATAAAAATAAACACTTGATATTTTTGTACCTGTCAAAATTCTGCATTTACCAATGTTTTGCTTTAAATAATACAAGTCAGATTCAAATTTACTACTAAAATGATATCTAGTTATTTTTAAATTCACTTCTCCTAGTTTAAAAACAAAGTATAATTTTCTAACGATTTTTACATATTTTATTAAACTTATTTTAATTCGACATTTTTTTTTTTTTTTTTTTCAGTGTTAAATAGTAGTAAAATAGTTCCAAACATGGATTTCCCTAAACACATCGATCAGCTACTTTTAGAACAACTCATTTACGAGCAAATGAGTGGTTTCCTGCTCATCGTTTTAGCGTCTGGAAAAATCGTCTTTATCTCAAACACAGTGGAAAATCTACTTGGACATTTACAGGTGAATATAAATATTTATTTAAAAGTAAAAATAGTCAAATTCAACTCCGTTATATCTTTCTTATTGTAGATCCAAGTATTAAAGAAAATCTTCTTTTTTCAGACTGATCTCATGGGTCAATCATTATTCAACATAACGAACTCCAACGACCAAGACCGACTCAAGATGTTCCTTCAGTGCGAAGGCGACATCGAGCAAGAATGGAGGAAGTCCTTTATTATTAGACTGAAGAGGGCCGGTCCGAGGTCCGAAACGCCCGTTTACGAAGCAGTGCGCATGATGGGCATGCACCGGCAGGCGCCCAACCTACATAATAGTATATTGGACACGTGCAGTACGACCAGCAGTAGTTCGTCGACGTCAGGAGTCAATAATGATGATGTACGTATTAATTTGTCGTTCAGTTATAACGTGTAATTACCAAAAAATGATTCAAACAACAATCGGAAGTGAAACTTTTCCGGTGTCTAACTCACCCATTGCTTATGATTTTTTTTATTTCTGGTAAAACTTAAGAAATATCGAGGTTGTTCTTAGAATAAGAGAAGTTCTTTATATTCTAAATTCTACTGGATTCGCTCTTAGACAGTGTTTGTAACTAATAGATCAGATTTGAATTTTGACAATAAAAATGATATTGAATATTTTGTTAAGAATTACACGAACTCTTATGTATTAGTGTTACAAATGAATCCTAAATAAGACATTTTTCAGTGCACTCCTATCCTTTCTCATAATTTATTATTCATTTATTTATTTTACAAACTGTTTTACAGGAAATTCCCAATTAAATAACAGACAAAATATGACTAAACAAATATCTCAGAAAAATACAAAAGAATAAAGATTTTAGAAAAAAAAAACAGACTATTTAAAACGATAAAATAATCACAAAAGCAAATGTTTTATGTCCGAAATTCTAATGTTAAATATATCCAGCTCAGGGTTAATGCTAGTGCAATTACTACACATGACACTTAATGGAGATTTACTTAAAATGTTGGTGCGAAGAGTGGTCAAGTAAAAAAGTATCGTTGCACCTAGACGTTTGGCGGGATTCCTAAAATTTAACAATTTATTTTGTTGGTTATGACTTTGTGCAGTGTAACTACTGAAAAATACTTGCGCCTTGCTTTAAGACTCGAAAAACTATGTCTTACTAACAGTTCGTTATGTGGGGTGCCAATTGGAGGATACATTTGGTCTTCTCGGAAACTTAAATATTTGAGAAACCGTCTTTGAAGAGTTTCTAATCTGGTAACGTGTACCTGGTAACTGGGACTCCATATAACCTAAGCATATTCAAGCTTTGAGTGGATAAACGCATAATAAAGATACTTTAACGTACTTGCATTCTTAAATTCCCGACAGTTCCGAATTATGATTCCGTACGTCCGGCTGCTGCAGTTAATATACCGCCAATGTGGTGGTCATTGAAGGATAGTGCTGAATCAAAAGTAACGCCCAAATCAACAGTTATTCGGTCTGCATAAGAGAGTGTTGCCTATACGAAAATTGTAAGCAATTGGATCAGAGCTTAGTGAATAAGACATGACATTACACTTCGAGGGATTCAAATTAAGGTTATTTTCCCGACACCATTCGATAACTCTTAGAAGATTCTCAGGTAGCCTTTCACAATCCGCGACGTTCTTAATTGTTATGTAAAATTTAAAGTCGTCGCGTCGGCGTAAATTAAAGACTATATCCACTATGTTATCCACGAAAATGTTAAACAGCAACGGGCGTAGATTTGATCCCTGAGGAACACCGTAGGTGGCATAATACTGCTCAGACCTAAATCCATTTAATTGAACGTATTGTGTTCTGTTGGTGAGATATAAGAAGTCCAATAAGATTGTTTGAAAGTCCAAACGTAGTAACTCTATTAACGGATAAATCTCCAATTTTTTTAACAAAATTTAAACTAGTTCGAAATAAATATTAAACATTTCATAACAATATTTTTTGTTTGTTTGTAGGTTTTAGTATTTTTTGTACAAGTTACCCGACCAGAACCATTCATCGAAAGACTAATGGAGGCTTCAAAGGACGAGTATAGGACGAGACATCTAATCGACGGACGGATCGTTGGTTGCGACCAGAGAATTTCCATAATAGCAGGATATATGACTGAAGAAGTAATGAACCACTCAGCTTTCTTGTACATGCACAGAGACGACGTCCGTTGGGTTATGATTGCTCTAAGACAAAGTGAGTATCGAAATCGATTGATTAATAATTATCGTGAAAGCCTTGAATCAATTTTAATTTTTATGTCGTTTTGATGGGCTATATTTCATTAACAGCTTTTACTGTTTGGTGAGTAGTATGTTGTACACTTATCAAAAAGACACATCGCGTTTTTAATTTACGAAACAGGTTGTCGTTGGAAATATATCCCACTCATCTAATAATGGATTTTATCCATTTTATCCTGGGCCCGTCTAACTTGGTGTCCAATAACATTGCTGCATGTTAGCTTATTGAGTTTCAGTTCATGTTGATTCATAGTACCCATTCTGTCTCCTTTGACCTTTATACCTTGAAGAAGTCTCTACAAGTTTTTGACTGTATTCTATAGGCTTTTGGATGAACCTGTGGGTTGTCCAAAAAGTACCCGTTTTTTACTATCCAAGATTCGTTTACCTTTGACTTTTATACCTTTTAGAAGTCTGTATAGTTTTTTGACTGTATTCTATAGGCTTTTGGAGCAACCAGGGGTTGTCCAGAAAGGGCCTGTCTTTCGCGATCCAAGGTTCTGCCGCCTTTGTCCTTTATACCTTTTAAAATTCTGTACAGGGTTTTGACTGTATTCTTTAGGCTTCTGGAGCAATCTGGGGTTGTCCAAAAAGTGCCCGTCTTTTGCCATCCAGTTTTGTAATTGCACAGTATTTTGCTGTTGTAGTTCCATGTGACATAGTCGACATAATAGGTGTTCGTTGTCCACGCCTATTTTATTCAGTTTTTTCTTTACTGGGAGATTCCCTATTATTCTTCTCAACTGGTTTCTATCTATCTTCTCTTATTTTTGAACATGGTCTTCCTATGTGCTTATTTTTAGGATATTTTCCCAATAATTATTGTTTTATATGAACCCTCATACTGTATACCACTATACACAAATACCGGTATGTTCTTGCGCATGTTAGCTCTATCCTTGTAACATATGACGTCATGTGGCATAAAAATCCGAGGCATCTACATAGATAAAGATAAGTAACAAGACGTTTTCGATAATAAAAAAATTGTTAAAGGTTGTGGTTTTTATGAAGTGAAAGTAGAAAAGTTATTGTATGAGTACAAATATTGCACAAATTTTATGAACATTTAGTTCATTTATTATTACAGCTAAAACAAGAATAAGATATGTGATAAAGTACAATGAGCAAATATACTTAAAAAAATCTTACATAAGTTCATATCAAAGAACGTCAAACAATAATGCACAATTTGAACGAACAAGATTTGAGTAAAACCACTGTACAGGGTGTCTGATTAAGGACTGTCATGATCCAAGTACTAAAGTCTATTCAGATTTCATTTACGCCTGATGTAAACAGAAGCAAGTGGACGCTTAAATTGTATAATTTTGGAATTATTTTTTTATTACGATAAAAATATATTTTATAAACTAAAAGTGTAAAATTAATGCATACAGAGTCCTCTAGGGTTTACTGACATTTCTGGATGAAAATAGATGAGCGACATAAACTGCGTTAACCTGCAATGAAAATTAATATACATATTTGACTTTAAAAGAGAGGTAAAAAGTCTACTACATATGTCTACTGTTATACAACGCATTAAAACAATCATATTATAATAAAATTATATTGTTGTACAGGGTGTCCAAATAATTGCAAATTCTTTAATAGCTAATATGTAACTGCTAAAAACATTAAAAAAAATGTTAAATATAAAAGGTGTTTGGTATTTGATTTAAAATTGTGCATCTTAAGAAGAAAATTTTTTAACATTGCAGTATTACCTCTTTTTGTGTTTTTGACAGCTTTTGTTTTTATTGTTCTTTATCGTTCTTGTTCTACTAGTATTTAGATTAGATACCTTGTACCTATATTAGCATTATTCTAAATCGGATAAATTTGATAGACTTGAAGAACCATCTTCATTTATCGAAATTACAAGTGGTTCTACCTGAACCTCTATAATATTATCCAACTCCCACATATTTACTTCAACTTTTTGGCGAACATGGTCGATACACTTTTTTCATTTTTTCGGGAGAAATTAATGATATTCTTTCTTCAAAAAGAATTTTTATGTCTCCTTTCTGCTACGTATTTTTTTTTTCTCTTGTATACATTTTTGAATATCACCTTTTTTAGACGTGGTTGTAGGTATTTTTTCCAGCTTTTTCGAATTATAAGATGCATTATCTTGCACGATAATACAGTTATCTTCTAAAACTACTCTTCGAACGATTCTCCACAAATTTCGTCATGGTAGTCACTGAATTTTTTTGACTCAAATGCACAAAATGCCTCAGGGACAAAGCCTTCTTCACTTCCAATATTTCATAAAATTAGCCTTTTTCCCTTTCCTAAAAAAAAAAACAACTCATTTGTTTGGGATTATTAACATAATTGTACGCTCATACAGGTATTTTCTAATATTCATCGATGCCATCCAACATTTTTCGAAACTGTTCTTTTATTCATCAAACATTTTTAGATGAGTCATCATCATCATCATCATCATCATATTCATATAAGGCGTTTTCTAATTTTCAATAAATTGATGGGCTGATGATAGATCACGTTACCAATAAATGACCTACTGCTGTAATCTTGATTTTTATCTGATGAAAATAAAATTTTAAAATCTTGACATTCAAACTGTTTTATTTAATGATAACAAACTTTTTGATAAACATAAAAATTAAAGACAAGTGTGGGTAGTCATACTATAATTGAAAAAATATGTACCTGCCTTCATTTGCTTTCTGTATATCTAACGCTGACAATCTTATCTTAAAATTTCCTTCTCTACATATTTTGCTTGCCAATTTTGATCCCTTTTATGTCTGAAACAAGTATTTAGATGGGATAGGGTCATTTTAAAATTACTGGTTATTAAGTATTCCTATATGGGCTTTGGCCCAAGATATGTGTAGTCATTTATCCTGATTTCTTGCCTCAAAATTTAGTTTTAAAATGTCCAAAATTAATTATATAACTAACTTTTGAATTAAAATTACAATTTTGAAATTTTTGAACTGGTGTCTGTGAAAATGATAAAATGTAATTCCTCTTTATTTAAACATTTAATCAATAACTACAACTTATTGGTGGATATAGATTGGTCTCTACCTCAAAACATATTTTACAATCGTATATTGAGTCATATTTTAAATATTTCCATATAATTGTATTAAGCCACATTTCAAAAATTTCTATAAAAAACTTTAACAACTCTGGTGAACTGTTTAAACCTCTACAATTCTTAGATTCTTAGATAAAATAAAATAAATGTTAAATAGGATAATACGTATCGATTTGTATTAACCATGTAATAAGGCCTTTGTCTGATTGGTTAAAAATAAATAAATAAATAACGAAAAGGCTTCTTTAATGGCTAATAATTCTGCACTATAAACTGACATACAGTTTGACAAACGTTTTAAAATTTGGGATAATATAAAGCGTAACCTACTTTATTATTTAATTTAGTACCATCAGTGTAAAATGTTTCATAATGTTTCCATTTTGTATTTAATTATTCATAAAAAGTTGGCTTTATTAGTAAATGGTTGTCAACGTCGAATTTACTAATATAAGTTTTTACTGGCATAATAAGAGGCAAATATGGATTGGACCAGAGCGGTACGCCATTTGAAACTGGTAGGCACATACTTTGATTTTCTTTTACTATACGGAGAATGGTCGCACTGCGCAGCTTTCTGAGTGCCTTTTAAAAGGAGATAGAAAACTCCTATTACGTGTTGCCTACATCTTGGCGCAATATTTTTAATAGGTGCGTTTTAATCATCCGCTTCTGCTTCGGATTTGTCGGTTTTCTTGTTTTAATCTGACAGGTTAAAACGACTAAATCGACAATTCCGGAAGCAGAAGCGGATGATTAAAACACACCTGATATTTTGCTTGCTGCTGTCAGTGTCAGTGAATATTATTTTTGAAGTCACAGTTTATTGCTAAAGAATCAGTTAGCTCACTCGGACCAGTTGAACGTTCCAAAATAACATCCACTCCAGGGATACAAATTAAGGATACGCAGAAGACTGCTGTTTTATTATAGGCGGTTGTCATATATTGTATTATCCGATTTGCACAGTGTATAAACTGAAACATTGAGATCAAAAGTGCCGACGCAGAGTGGTTCAAAATGGCCGCGCCCTATGTTGGGCGTGTCGGACCTCTCTCTTGCCTCGTATAGTAATCAAAGTATGTGCTGGTAGGTCATTACTGACATCTGACGTAGAAATAAAACTGTCAACTAATAATGGCAGTTTTTCTTTTTCCAAAAGGATGAAGTTAAGCATAGAGTAGTTAATCTGCTTACTTTATTGATTACTGTGGAATGTTTTGATCGGGATAACAATACAGATTTATCGCTCAGAAATTTCCTTCTTAGATCCAATGGACTTTCACATGTTTCGACTTCCATAACATTTATAGGAGTGCTTGGTAAGAATCCTACGCAATCTTAGGCATTTATTTTTAATTTGTTCAATTTTCTGAAGATTTGAGTTTGCTGCTGTATTATAAAAAATTGAACCATAATCATGGAACCAGCATTCTATAAAACATTAGACTAACATTTGGGTCAGAGTCCCAATTGTGACAACTAAAAATTTTAATTATATTTACAGCATTTTGGGTTCTTTTCTGAACATAACTGTATATGTTCCTTCCAATTTAATTTGCTGTCTATAATAATGCCTAAAAATTTAAAGGAGAATTTATAAGCCAGGTTATATTTATGTAACTTTATATAATTTGGATGGGTATACCTTTTGCGCGTATAAGTAACTACAGCCGACTTCGATTCAGATATTGTTAAACCGTTTTTATGACTCCAATTATGAATCTTCTCCATAGAATTGAATAGCTGATCATGGCAATAATTAATTTGTTTGTGGCTTGTGTGTACATTATCTGCGTATTGAAGAATATTTGTAGATCTTGGAATACAATTTTCTATATCAAAGGTGTAAATATTATAAAGTAAAG